TTACTACCACAAGTATAATGTTGAGGTATGCCCAGAAAAAACGTTTATAGCCCCGGCCTGTATTAGAGACCGGCCAATATTTACCTCCTCTGACAGCGAGACCGGCCATTATTAGAGACCCGGCCGCTATTGGAATACAGGCCAATATTAGAGAATTTACGGTATTACATATTGTACCTGAAGACTTTAAGTGTGTTCCCAAAGAATATAACAAAAGTATTTGTAGGCTTGTTTTATTTTAATGATTAAGAAGCTCTTTATCAATTAGTTGGTAGAGTCCACTTGAGTCCTATTCATTCTAAGTCTTTGCAGCATTCGCTGCGGGACCAGCAGGTTCTGCAACAGCTTTTCCCCCGCTGCCATCAGGATGTTGAACTGTTTAAGTATAAACTGGACTCTGCATTACACTTGCAACATTATTTTGCATCCCGGCCATGGCTTAAACTTTTATAATATATATAAATAAGACACAACTCAGTCTTATACTGCATTTTACACCATATTTATTTTTCAATGAACTAAACCTTTCCATATTATTGCCCTTTTATACCAACTCGTTTTACTTTTTTCCTATACTGTTTACATGATGATCACTGCTGCACTTTAAATAGTACAAATGTACATTTCACTGTTGTAAGCTGCTCATTTCACAGCTGGAAGCTGTAAGCAATGTAATTTTGTTTTGTATACACTTGGTGTCACTTGGGTCAGGTGAGACCAAAGTCGAGAAGTGAAGGCTAATATCACCCTGAATACGCTATGCCTATGGTGGAGCATGGTGGTGGCAACATCATGCTTTAGGGTTGTGATTCTGCAACAGGCAACATGAATCTGGTCATAGTTAATGGGAAGATAGATAGAACAATAGACAGGGAAATGCAGAAATAATAGGATTCATAGGACTTAATCCTTTATGCAGGACGAATGCATAAATAATCAAAGAGGGCTGCAATGGAGTGTTCTAGGTTAAACTATATTGATGTATCAAAGTGGCCTAGCCAAAGTCAAAACTTGAATCTGTTGCAAAACTTGAACGGTAGTCATCACAGTTTGCTCTTCATCAAGTCAGACTGACATTGAGTTATTTTCGAAAATGTCAGGATTTCAGGCCACACCTTTCAGCGTCATTAAGTTGTTATCGCATAAGCTGGTCTATTAGAAACATACAACTGTGGTTTTAATGTGCTGGGAATATGGAAAAGCATAATATTTTTGTTAAGGTTGCTGTGTTTTTAAAATCAGGGCATCATCATGAAAGAAACAAAACAAAACAAAACTCCACTAGGTGTTGCTCATCCTACAATTCTGGAACCAGCCCTTTATCATTTTTTGGAGTTTAGAACTGTAACCATCTGCTCTACAGTAAAGCCAGCTTCACGTGTATGTTAGCGTGTTCTTAGAGGAGCGTATATGTTACCTGCTGTCCGGGCTTGATTGGTGACAGCGTGATTCCCTGGGTGTTGATGACAGGCAGGATCTGATTGCCGATCACCGTGGCGATGATCTGGCCTTGAGCGTTGGTCAGAAGCTGAGGCGTAATTGGCTGTACCTGCAGTGCTGGGTTGCCACCCCCTGATTGGCTGGAGGGCCCTGCAGAGTTGGGCATCAGTGGGATTGTTCCAATTATCTACAAAGGGGGCAGAGCGGAGACAAAATCAGCTGGGTGGTTTTAAAAAAGCAGAAAGAGCAGAGAGGGTAAACGCCACTGGAGGTATCAATGAAAATGACATTTCCTTATGGAAGAGAGGATTTTAAACATTTAGAGCAATTAATGCTGCTAATCAGAGTAAGATGCTTTAGAGTGGTGGGATTGAGAGACAGAAGGATGCAGAAGTGTCCACTGATGGTCTGTCACTGATGTGGCTTTACAGGCTGGAGCAAGTGAAGCCAAAGCAGACTGCTGGGAGCGCACTGCAAAGGTCAGCGCTGAATACCTGTGTGTGTGATGGTGCACACCACTGACTGTATTATCCATCTCCAGGCCTAGATCAGCAAAGATGTGTGTGTGTGTGTGAATGTGTGCTGAAGTGTCTTTGCCTGTTTCTGGAGTGAGGCTGCAGAGAAACACAGGCAAAGTGAAAAGAATGAGTGAAAAAAGAAACAATAAGAGAGAGAGAGAAGAAGAGGGAGACAGGACCCTGTGCCTCTAATCCAACTCTCAGGGTCCCAGGGGTACTTCACCCCCCTCCAACCATTGCTCTCCTCTCCTCTCTCCAGTGGCTGTAATCAGGAAGGGCAGATCAAAGGGGGTGGCAGAGTGTCACTGCCACGTTTTAGCTCTCAGAGCTGCCAGAGTGTAGCCGGGAGTACCGCTTTAGGGGGGACTTAGCGCCTCTTCACTATGATGAAGGTTAATGTCATCTGGGGACTGGTTCTGGGCAGCGGCCATCACCCTGGCCCCCCTGCTGGCAGCGCTCCTCCAACTCGCCTCATTACACTAGAGAGCAGCTCCACATGGATGAGGCACCATCATTTTAAATTCTGTTGTTTGGAAACAAGGAAAAAGCTGCCTGGGCTAGAATTGCAAAGTCTTGGGCTCGATCTCTTGATGTTTGCCTTTCAGTGAAAGGCTCTGTGCGACAGCCTAACAGCCCAAAGCAGCACGCTGCATATGGCTCACCTCCTCCTCTTCCCTCTCCAGTCTCTTTGACATAATAGGGAGGGATCTGTAAGAGAAAGGTGGTCCAATGATGTATAATTCATCCCTGCTATGCCTCATTTGCTTACGTTGCTTCGCATTAGGGAACAGATAATTTATCTCTCTCTCTTGGTCTTTCAGCCGGGGTTTTACAAACTCCCTGTAATGCTCTCCTGCCACTTAGCATATTTTATTGCCCTTCCTGACGCCTGTGTCTCCGGAGTCCCACTGATCCTACTTTGCATGCCACCGTGGCAAAGAACTTGTTCCGCTCAATTATTCATCATCATTGGTCTAAGTGGTTGTTCTATAAGCATAATAAAGGAGCAGGAAAATGACTCATCCCACCATACCAGGTCCCCTACTTGTATCTACACAGATGTTTTACAGTGGCATCACACTGCTCCATTTAGGGCGAATATTAAATAGTGACCTGTCAAAGTGTTGATTTTTAGGAGGAAAAATGACACACACGTTGTTTCTGTGACTTTCCGAAAGACACATTTAACACTTAACAATTGAATAACATTTTATACCGGAAAATAACTTAAAACAAATCTTATTTCCTGGCTTATATTTGTTTTAATTTTAAGATGATTAAACAAATATACAAGCCAAATCTATTCAAAAACTTGATTAAGCTAAGACCCTCCTACAGCATAACTATTTCCAGCTATATTTGTGGCTGTTTCTTGTGTAGCTTTTAGAGTTTGAGTTTAAAAGGCATAGCTACGGTGGCCGAGAGGTAAAAACGTGCAGCAAATACATAACTGCCCAGCAAATACAAAAAGTGATGCACGTAACAAACACCAGAATTTGACCATGGTACCTATATAGCGCTTTTTCCAGTCAGAAGACTTGACCAAAGCACTTTACACTACATTCAGTCATTCCCGAACACACTCACACACTGATGATGGCGAGCTACATTGTAGCCACAGCTGCCCTGGGGCTCGCTGACAGAAGCGAGGCCGCCGTACACTGGCGCAACCGGGCCCTCTGACCACCATCAGTAGGCAATGCAGGTGAAGTGTCTTTCTTAAGGACAGAATGACACTGAAAGGCTTGAACTGACAACCCTCCAGTTGCAGGGCAAACTCCTTCATCCGACGCCACTGTCGTCTCCATCAAACACAAAAATAGACTATCCGACTAACAACACAGGCAAAAAAAAAAAAATGCTGCAATATATATAGGGGGAGTTTTACATCAATTCATTAGGGATTAGAGTCTTAGTAAAGACAGAAAGGATGCTTAGAGAGATTGAGTAAATAAAAAAGACTCAAAGGCAAACATACCTTTTCTTTTTACCCTTCATATGTCTGAGCGTCTTGCATCCTGTGTTTACTAAAGACTGGTCCACAAACATTCATATATATTAATAAATATGTATGAATACCTAGGTCAGGGCCCATATGAGTTATTTTGATCTATAATTAAGGTTTATTTTATTTCTCTGTACAAAGCATATATGTAAAATATTGCAACTTTACCTTAATTAGCTACATTAACATGGACATAACTAATCAGATTGAAGGCCTGGTCAGATCAAAAACGTTTCATGTAAACATGTCAAACTGAATATATTTATCTGATTTGGTTTGATCGGAAAGAACTTTCGTTGTGAAAAAGAGGTGTTTTTTGCTGATATCCATTCCGATTGGCATCCGTGAAGACACCCATTCGGATCCTTTGAGTAAATAACCTCCACTGTGCATGTGTGCAAAGTCAGCATGACTTTAACTATCCTTCTATGATTAGAAAGCATCTCTAAAGCTATGTTCAAACACCAGGCAAATGTGAACATTATTCTGATCTTTTTCGTCTGAAAAAGTCAGATTTATGCTAAGCTCTTTTGTGGTACTATAAAACAGATGCATATCTGATAGTTTAAAAGCGTTTGCAGTGTGAAAGGTCAGGTCACGTTTGACCTCTCCACAGCAGGAGTGGTCACTACTCTACGAAGGTCTAGGGTTTAAAGATGTGTTCTATTTTTTTTAACCTTCCTTTGTCTTTTTATGACTTGGTCATAATATTTTTGTCCTCCACTGCTCTACACTTTAGGAAAAACACACAGACAATAGTATCCACTATTACTTCATCTTTATTTAAAAAAAAGCCCTAGTATCTTTAAACAGTGCTCTGCTGAACGACATCTATATTCTCTTTCTGTATTTTCTTTGTGCTTTGTTGTCCCAACCTGTTCAGACAGATAACAGCACATCTGATGGTGTTCAGTTTATTAGTATGAACAAAAATGCGAAAAAGATTAGATCTCAGAAGAAAAAAATCTGAATTGAGCATTAATAGCTGCTTAATGAGCTAACTCCTGAGTAGGTTTTGCTAGATCTGCTTTAAAATCTGTACAGTCTGACAACCAGCAGGATATTGTTTTAACGGAATTTGATAAGAGCAAGGAGTCATTTCCACTTCCAAACACCTGATTGTGGGTTTCTTATGCAGCAATTTCCTTCACACAACTATTTTATAAATAAGCAGCCATTGGGACTTTTCATTCACAGCTTAGTAATCTCCTAACTTATTTCCCATTTTTTTCTGGCTGTTATTTCACTTCCTGTGTTTGCCTCTGCTCCGGTTCATGTGTGAGAGACGTGCTTCTCTCCATCCAGCAGAACTCATTAAGATTATGCTGCTCTTGTTTCCACAGAAATGTCATCTCATCTCTCCAGCCGGGGCAATCTGTGTCTTTAGCTATGGTCGCCAGGCAATATCTCTGCCCATTTTTCCTCCCCCTCAGTTCATGCGGTGAATTGGGACCCAAGAGGGGAAAATTTTTTTGAAAAGTCAACACACAAGTTCTCACTGCAATTCTAAGCTTCATTCTGCTCACAAATTCAGAGAAAATTAAAACAATGAAATAAAGGCAAGATGTTTTCTGATACATATTCTCTTTTTAATAACTTTAGAAGATAAGAAATCCTTTACTTTAAATCTCAAAAAATTGAGAGCTAGGTCTGGGATTTTTAGACTTAATGGAGCTATTAAAGTCATGTTATATACACCAGTGTTATCGAATCTTTTATAATTTCCCCAAATTTAAGTTTCTAAAACTCTAAATACTGTCCAAAGATGAATGGATTTTTTCGTGGTTGTTTCTTGACAGTTTTTCAGACTTATAAAACATTTAAATCTCATCATATACCAGTCTGTAGGAACCTTGTTACACACAATTACAGGTGATGTGAGACAAATCTAAAGACTGGTAAGAAAAAAATTTCTTTAACTCCCCTGCAGTAGCATTAAAAAGGTCAACAGCAGTTTGTTTAGTAGGTGCACTTCATCCAAGGAGTGGAAGCTTCCTTCAGTTGAGACAGATCACCATGTTTTGAAGTAAAGCGTCACCTGCTGTATGACTCAGCATGTGAGCGTGTTGCTTTTCACATTAGTATCAGCATTATATGCAAAAGGCCTGACTAAAGGTCACAGAGTATAAAGGAGATAGCAGATAGTTTTTCAAAAAGCTATATGCATGGTTAAGGCCTCACCTGGTTTGACTGTATTCAGTTTAGAGAGGAAACAGCCATTAGCATTTGTGCTGCCAGTACAGAAACTGCACTTAACTATCACTAACTGCATTTAAAACCTTAGGAAAAGATAGATTTTACATCGCAGAGAAGATGGGAGATAAAATGTGTGATTTGTATAAGGGGGGGAGTATCTTTAGAGGAAGGGTGACTGAATAATTGTGGCTTTTATCCGCAGCCTTAATCACTGTTGTAGAGGCAGAGAGGATAAAAGAGCCTCATTGATTTTCCTTGGAGAATAAAAAAAAACGATCGAGCCAATATAATTAAGGTTTAAAAACTGAACTCCAAAGACCCATCAGACTTGACACTTTTCAAGGTTCTCCAAGCTCTTGCTTATGAAAAGGCCTTTTGACAGCACTGTAGAGGAAATTAAGTGAACAAAGCCTGCACACCATGGTTTAAATTCAAGGAAAAGTAATTGTTTACATGCGGAGTGCAGGGACAAGAGAGACGGTCCCCTGAACTGTAATCAAACTGCACCTTGAATGAGTAACAAAAAAAAAAAAAATCCACTAAAGAAGACACATTCCTTAATTTACCATATGCGAGTGGTGTATAATACCCAACATTCAGGGGAAGGGATGGGAGAGACCTTCTCATTGGGGAGTGTATATTTCAGAGTCCTTCGTCTGAATAATGCAGTGGAATAATGAGGTGGGGAGCAAAGGCTGTACCCCAGGGCTTTGACCATCTCAGTGACCTGATTATGTCAGGAAGTGTCAGCCACCAAGACGCTACAAAAGCACAGAGCATCCCGTCAAGTCCATATCCTCAGTGATCTGTTCCCAGTGCTCCAGGCACCTTGTGAGCCAGAGAAGTCCATACTGTCTCATTAGCTATGTTTAGGATCAAGGTCTCCTTTTCAGACAATACTTTCTACATGGTCAAACCAGTAAATGTAACTCTGAAATGTCCAGTTTAAAAAACATCAATTTACGTGTGTTTTATCACTTAAAATATCTCCAGCTGGATTAGTGTCATTTTGTTTTTGTAAAGTTGACATGATGAGGACAAAGCAAGCGTAACACAAAGAAACAGTGGTTATTATAAATAACAGAAAGTGGCATAAAAGGGCACAATGTCCACACAGTTCTGCTTTAATGTGAGCACTGTGCACCTGAGATAAGATGATTCATTAGATAGAGCCGAACAATGACAAGCACCATCGTTCAAGCCTCTGGCTACTGATGGAACAATTTTGCAGCCACCCTTAAATATGACAAGGTCAGCGTTTTACTCCGACAGGCGCGTGAGGTTAAGAGAGGGAAGGGTTTGTTTATTCCCAAAATGCTTAATATATGGAGGGTGGCGGCCAGACTGTGGACAAACAGCTTCGAGGCAACATGGAGTCTCGCCACGAGGAATCAATGAAAAAAGATCAAGAATGTAATACAGATGGTGCTTCTTGAGCTGGACATTAATACTGTGTATAACAGAAGATCTTTTAGGGGCTCCCAACCACTGCAACTACTTTAGTTATGAAACTTTGCTTTATGAAAGTGAACTATTTCATGTTTTGCAAATTATCAGATAAATACACTTTCATATTCTAGTAAGACTGCGTGTAACAGACCAACACACAGAACCATATAACTGTGAAGAGGAAAGAAAAATATCAAAATTTTCTCTTGCATTTGTCCCAACAACCCTAAATTAAATCCAACTGCCCATAATTAGATCCCTTTCGGAAGTCGGAAGAAAATAGTGTGCATTTATGAACAAACAGCTTCATAAAGATAAACTGCTTGATAATCTCTGTTTGGTCTTCATGGAGATCCAAGGGAAAAGAGAAGGATTTTCAGGTAAACTGACAAGTTGAAAAAGGTTTAGCAATGAGTGGAGCAGCAAGAGGCCTGTGGTAACTCCAGAGGAGCTGCAGATTTGAACAACTCAGTAGTCATGCTTTCAGGACATGCAGACTTTATGAGATATTTTTAATAAAAACACCACTAAAGATTGAAAGACATAAAAAGCAGGTTATCTCAAATGATGTCTGGGACATTTGAAACATGTTGGAAAAGGTGCTTTTGTCAGGTAAGACCAGAATATAGCTCTACTGCCAACATACAAATGTTCTGAGGAGGCAAACTAATACTGTACATTATCCTGAACCCACAATCCTAGCTAAAAATACTAGATCACAGCATATTCATGCACTAAAGAGGCTTACTTCTAAAACTGGAACTAAATTCAATCCAGAATCTGAGGGGAGACTTGTAAATTAAAAATGTTAAATAATCCTATACACATTTCCTGCAGCTGAATTATGATGTGAATCATCAGCAAAATTCAATCCATAGTTCCTTGGAATGAGATGAACCCTTGGCAAAAATGCCAATAAAATCTGTTCATACCTTTTCAAGTTATCCTGTAAACAGACAGAAAAACACACACACTCAAACTCCACTAATGACACCACCTCCTTGGCGGAGGTAATAATTACAAACTGCATTACACTCACCTGTCCTTGTGCATTCGTAACAAGCTGCCCAGTGGCTCCTTGCAAATTTGAGAGGGTGTTGCCGAACACCTGAGATCCAGCAATTGACCCCATGGCGGCTGCTGCTGCCACTGCTGCCTGGCTAGCCAGAGGGTTCAGCTGGAGAGGACAAACACATCATTTATCAGGAAAAACATCTGCTTTTTTTTACACATTTATTCTACAATACAAATGTCCAAAGAGGTCAGCAAACCACATCCATACTTTCTTTTTGTTGTCCAGAAGAGAAGAGGCTAACTGCAAAGAGGTCTTTATAGTCCAGCAGTGAGGACCATGCAGTTTATCAAACGTTTCCCAGAGGTCTGTGCTCCTGGACCCAGTGGGAGGCTCGAGGGTAGGGAGGAGCAGTGAAAACTGAAGGGAGGCTGTGAATAAGTGGCCATTTTACCACTCTAAGTGCTTTCTCTGGCCTCTGGGGCTCCCCATGGGCTAAGTCTAGTCCTTCGACCCTCAGCAATGGCCCTCCCACAAAGGCTCTCACAATAGAGCCAGGCAGCAAGGCTATGCATCACTGTATCGTCTGTTGCTTCAATAAACTTGGACTAAGAAATCCCCCTGCATCAAAAGACCCTAACAGAGTGATACTGTAGAGGCAGAGGAAGGTTAAAATGACCATCTGTACATTGCTGTAATGGACTCATTTAGTTTGGCCCATGGTGGCAGAAAGAGACTTCTTGCATTGAGAAGAGGCTGGAGAGCCAGTCACATTTCTCAGATTACCCATATAAATCAAGCTAACCACTTATTAGGGGCTGAAAATGCACTGCTGATTTGGTTGTATTGCAGTAAAGCAAAGTCTTATTGAGCTGAATAAGTAGATCAAAGACAGAGAAGAGAGAGCAGAGCTCCCGATTACTGGACAGAATAAAGAAACTGGCTGCTTTCTCCCTGCTGCTAACCCTGATTTCCTACTTAACTCAAATGAGAAGACTAAAAGAAAAAGGAAAGTTAAAGCAGAATGTAGTGAGGTGAAAAAATCCAGCTTTTTCATACTCTCTACATTCTGTAGAGAATTCAGCTTTGTTCATAGATCCGGATGCCATTTATTCTTTCTTATCCCACCACCATATATTATTACACTTTCTGAAATCAAATGATGAAAAAATGCCACAGAGCGATCAATACTTTTTCATTGACAGTAAAGGTTAAGCACATTAAGAATGACACTGCATTTGTCTTATGAAATCATATTTCATGTTGGTGGCCTCAAATTGGCCGTGATTGATATTGCCTCCTCTCGTCTGAAAGTCATCCAGTTTTTCCTCGATAATCGCAAGATTGTCTTTTATGTGTTTCAGTGGACGCCCTTTGGGAACCAGGAACATCTCAAATGTTTGAAAAAAAAGAAGCCCACAAGTCTGAGTCATTCGGTTTTTTAGTCCTTAAACTGTGGTAAAGTGTATTTCTAAATTTACTCTCATTTCTGATTTTAACGTTTAACCTTTTTTTCTTTATCATTTTATTATTATATTGTTTATTTTTTGCTCAAACTCTGCAGTACAGAACTTTGATCCAACACCTACTTGTTGGTAATTAAAATACTGAAATTCCCCTTTATCATGTCACATTATTAACTGTGCAGCCCTTTATTAAAAACATACTGTACACAATGGCTGTGTCCGAACATCCGCCCAAACCCCTAAATCCCTCAATCACTGGGAGCTGGGACTATATAGTGGACTTTATAATGAACTCAGTTAACCGACCGTTTGGACAGATTATCACTACTTTTCCCTCCCCTTTGGTCATGTAACTCCACCTCCCCGCACGGTGCCTGCACCATCTTTGTTATTTGTCGCTGCTGTCGGGCAGTGACAGCCTATGGCAAAGGCGCTCTGCTGTGACAACAAATCCCATGATGCTTCTCCTCGCAAAACATATCTGCTCGTCTAGTGACCATGGATGATCACTACTTTTCAAGGTGCATTGCAGGAAATTTCGACTCCACAACTTTTTCATCCACTAGATATTTGGACACTCATCTGAAATGGCCTAACCACCATATAGTGGTTAGGGTGGACATTCAGACCATCCAATGTGATACAGGGGACCATTTTTTTTTTGAGCTTTTAATATTTTCAAACATGACTTTAAGTTGGTCTTGTAAATAAAAAAAAACATATTGAATCATCAAAAAAATTTGATTTTTTTAAAACAGTTTTAGTGTTTTCCGCTCTTTAAACTTGAAGAGGGAGACTGTACCAGTATCAGAAGCCTCTTGTCTATCTCTGACCTGATATCGCAGGATACTAACCCCACATGAGTGGAGCTTTGCAGAGAGCTGATGAAACATTAAGCATTGCCTGATGAGTGTATGGCATTAAAGTCTTGTTTTGTTTTCAACCAATTAACAAGTTCAACTACAAAACAATGCATTACAAGCTGAATTGTGCAGTTGTTAAAATTATCTGCATGAACACGTTTAAGTACCGGTATGTTTAGAAACAGATACAGGTGTCCGGTTAAAATATCGTTAGAAGCAGAAGACTGTCCTGTAGAACCCCAAATTTGGACAAAGTGCTGCTGTTAACAGGAACGCATACAAGAGAGTCCAAATTTTCTCTTTTTAGTATGTTAATAATAACCAAGTGACACTGGTGCCAGGTAGGTCTAATTTTACAGCATGTTAAAGCTATTTTCCAGCACATGTAAGGCCGATAGAACTGACAAAGACTCCTGGTGTCAAAATGTCTTTTGAAAAAGTTAAGCTTAAGTCCAGTACCCTTGCGGTTTAAGCCCATTTAGTGATGAAGAATTTATATGAAATTATAGTGAGGTATTAATCCCACAAAGAGATTTTTTAGCTGCAACAACCAAAAAAAAAAAAAAAATCTCCTGCATTTCATTCTCATGATATATCTATGCCAGCATTGATTGGAGCAAATAAATATTATTTTCTTACCGAGCAACATGGCAAGATTTTTAAGGCATGATTGTAATAATTTTAAAAGTATGATTTTGATTGCCCTGGATTCGTAACTCAGGGTATTTTTTTCTAGCTAAAAATAAAAATTGCTGCTTGTAAATGTTGGAATAGTGGGAGGAAAGCTAACATGGTCAGTTAGGCAGAGTTAAACAGAGGCCACATATCAACACAATGATAACGTGATCCGCTCAGGCGAGCACAGCCAGAGTCCCCCCTGAAAATCTGCTGTGCTCTGTGTCATTATGGGAGTGATAGGCTGTTAGAAAAGCCTTTAGATATATTTGAAATATCATCATCACGTTTCATTCAATGATAGCCCTCTCAGGTGCTCTGTTATTCTGCTAAATCTTTGTGAAAAGAAAGCCGACTTCATTGCTACATCTCTGGCACAGCATAATATGGATAGCAGTTAGAAGGAGAGCCAGAAATAAGGAGAGGCAAGGCTTTGCTCAACACCTAACCAGGTGATTTTCCACCACGGTGACTCCTCTCAACACCTCGGCAGGAGGCACAAAATGACAGAGCTGGGCTTGTATTTGTACTGATTGCATGTGTTGGAGGAGATAAACAGCGATCTTCCAGTTTGTAGAGCCTGCATATTAAAGATTGTGTTTCTTTTCATTCACTGTGAAAAGGGCAAGAAGATTTTCGGCTGTTCAGTCCTCTCTGGACAATACACCTGTTATGATCTCAGCAAATTGCAGAAAACATCAAAGACAGACATTTTGTTTTTTTTGTATAAAGAAATCGAAGTTGTACCTGAGAAATGCCTAAGAGACAGAATCGGATGGCTCCCAGCTCCATCAGCTTGAAATAAACTCAAAAGTAGATTTTCCAATTACTCATCATACTGTAGTAATCGCTAGGTCTGGCAAGGGCAACAAAATTCTTCAGGGTTCGAGTTGTTGATGTTACTGAGGGAAGATGACTCATGTTAACTGTTTGCAGTTTTGGTAAGGTGTTTTAAATCAAGTTAGTTGACAAAAAAAGCTATTAAAGAGGTGACAGTGATTAGGTCAGGGAGAGAGCACAAGACTTTCCGTGGATAACAGGAAGGCTTTATCGAGTCCAGCAAAGGAGGTACATTTAATCCAGTAGAGCTTCCAACCTCTTTCTCTCATGGAAGATGTAGGATTTGGAAATATTGGCAGGTTTATGCATTGAGTTATACAACAGGCCACAATATGTGTGAACAGTGTAGTTAAATATGTCCCTGTAGGGGTGATGGTGGCTCAGCAGGGGCTTGTTCTGTGGGCAGTAGGTTGCTGGTTTGACCCCTCAATCTGTCCCTCTCAGTTGTTGTGCCTTTGTTGTTGTCCCGCCTTGGCTATCGTCTTGGTCAAAGGGCCAAGTGGTACTGATTGTTTGCAGCATCACTGCTGTTCGTCTGCCCCAGGGCAGCGGTGGCTACAATGTAGCTCATCACCAACAGTGTGTGAATTGATGAATGCAGTGTAAAGTCCTGTTTAAGAACAGGTCATAATGTTTTGGCATCCCAATAGAAACGCCAGCAATGTAAAACCATCAGAAAATGCAAAATTATTAACTTTTGTAAAAGAGACCGAAGCCACCTAAAAATCTTAATTAGGAAATGGAGGTTATTCTCCATTTTAATTTAATTTTTGAATTTTTTTCCTTTAGTTAGCCCTCTTCTTTTAAGAAAAAAGATAACTTGATAGACATAATATAAAATGAGAATGTTATGTCAGTTGTCTGGCTTCAGGGCTGTGTAAAATGTATTCTCTTTATTCATCGAAACTGTGTCAAAGTGAACCCAACAGGTTAAATTAGCAGTCAATACCACTCTTGTTTCTCCTTCGGAGGAATGTCCTTTATCTGAAACAACAAGGAAGCTTCCCCAGTGTGATTCCAGCCCACCATCCCTGTCTCCTCCCTGCTCTTTCCTACTCCAGAGTGAATGTAATCAGCTGTGACATGAGAAAACACGTTCTCTGTCTGTCAGAACTCTGCTAGTCCTCTGCTGACAGTCCTCTACTGACTCTCCTTCTCGTCCTTCTCTAAACCCCTCGATCCCCCACCACTCCAACTGCCTCCCCCTCCTCACATCCGCTGTGCTTATGAACATCAAAATGCCATTAGGCCCTCCAAAACACCTCTGGTCCCTTGGCCGGTGGGGCTTCACACTGAAGTTGTGCACTCTGAGCCCCGCGAG